CCCCTTCACTCTAGCACCAGGAGTGAAATTATACATGCAGCGTGCATGTGACATCTGTCATTGAAAGGAAGAATGATCGTGTTTACTTATGTTATGGTGATAATAGAGCATGTGCAGCAGGATTGGACATTGCTGTCTTCACATTTTATATAGATGAGGAAGTATCTGGTGCTGAAGTTTGTAGAAGGTTCTGTGTAGTGTTGAAGGAGTATTTTGTAATGATCAGAAATATGTCAGCCAGGTGCCAAAAGAGGTGCTGGAAAGTTCAGCATGAAGCTTCTTTGCAACATTATCAAAAAGAGCAAAAGTATTACTCAAATTATATCAACCTGTGATGAATCCTTTGCACACCACTTCAAGGGAGAATCACAACAATATAAGCACATAAATTTGCATGCATCACAGATGATATTGTTTGTTTTTTTGCATGCTGTTCAGGGAATCTATTGATTTTCCACAAACTATTACTGATTCTGTTAAAGGGATGTGCCTAGCTTATTTGTAAGAAGTGAGTAGGCATGCAAAAGTATTGGTTTTACAACAATACAAAATATGGTCACATAAGTTTAGAAATACATAAATGTTCTGGAGGAAATGGGCTGAAGAATGTTTCAACAACCCCTTGTAGAATAGTTTACATTTCTATGTCAGACTGAAGGCATTGAAGCAGGATTTTTCAGAACTGTGTGTTTGGGTTTACAAAACATTTAGTGTGGTGGTGTAAAAAGTGTGCATTGTTGGAGGGTTCTTATAAAGAAATAAATGTGTCAGAACTCTTGCAGCACATATACAGAGTGTGTAATTAAGTCCTGGAACTTATTGTATGCTCCTAGTATAATAATTGGCTATTTACATGTATATAGTAGCTACTGTAAACTGACCTGTGAGCCGGGATAGCTCAGTCAGTATAGTAACTAGCTACAGGCTGGATGACGGGTTCAATCCCCGACGGGGGCAGAGGATTTTTCCTCTAGCCTCTGCATCCAGACCGGCTCTGGGGCCCACCCAGCCTCCTCTACAATGGGTACCGGGGTCCTTTCCCGGGGGTAAAGCCGGCCGGGGCATGATGCTGACCACTCACCCCCATCTAGTGCCAAGGTCAAGAAAGAGAGGAGCTATACCTCCACTCACCCCAAGCGCCTGTATGGCACGTAGCGGGACAAACTTTACTTACTGTAAACTGACCTGCAAAGGCTGTCCATGTTCCTATACCAAACTTCTATGAAATGGATGCAGCTTTAGTAATTGCCTTGTCTTTTGTTTTAGGGAGTGATACGATGGTGGAAGCATGATCATTCAGAACGATTTAAATATTTGAAACCCTTAATTTCAAAAATCAGTCTTGAACAAGTGCCAATGGAACTGTTGCTTAGTTTCAAAAGTGATCCATTGTTAGCTGATACAGAACTTTTGTCACAAATAAAGCAAACTGAAAATTTTATTTTAGAATTGAGATATGAAAAACGTGACATTAAGGCACTTTGGGATATATGTCATAAGAAGTCACTTTGGAAAGGCAGATATGGCATGGAACAAGAGGTATGATTTCTTCAAATTATAAGCATTGTACTGCATGCTGGTGTATGTTACAAGATTCATAATTTATTTCTTTCCTCAGGATTGTTTCATTTCTTATTTTTGATACCTAATTGTCATCACATTGTCTTCCAATTCCTTAGATGTCTAGACATGTTGAAGAAATTCAGAACCATTCAGATGAATCTTAATTTCTTACCTCTTATACCTCATGTGTCCTTTGTTTGACAGTCTACCTTGCCAAAAGTGGCATTTTCCCCCGAATTCACAATTCTTAGAACATAGAAGATGCTTCATGGCCAGAAAACAAAATATTTACTGATGTACTACCTGATGTTCATCACACTTATACCAATTATAAGCTTTTACATGGTAATGCTGTTCAGGGATTTTTGGCCCTATGGTATTCATTACTGCTGCACCTTGTTGTGGTGGTGGGGCTTGAGTACCTCAGTGACCCCAAGAGCTATGCTGGTGGTAGCATAGCTACTGGTAGGGTTGAGGGGGAGAGGTCAGACTAAGACAGATACCCTGGTCCTCCAGGTTGGGGGTTGGTCGCAAGGCTAACAACCTTACACCGTAAAAAGGAAGATGTTTCGAAACCTCAACCTCGGACAGACGGACCGGATGGAAGAGGAGAATTGAGGAGGCCATGGACCGAATATGGACCAGAGAGCCATAGAAGAAGAAGAAGAAACCTTATCTATCACTTCTGGCTAGCTACCGTCATGTCTCACTGCTACCACCACCACCACCACCATCACCGTGGAAAGACTTCAGAAAGTCATGGAAACTTTAGTTAGGATCACTTGTGGCTTCAAGTCTCAAGGAAGATGTTTCCGTAGCTTGGAAACTAAACTCAGTAGAAGAGTGGCGTGTGTTTGAGTTTGGAAATCGTGGGAACAAGGCCACAACTGCAAAAAATGTCTTGGATATGAATACCAGTGACAGTAATTTCTTTAGCTTGGAAACCAAGCATGATAAAAGAATCACATCAAGGTCAAAGTTATTTGTTTAAGTAGGGAGATAACAGGTGCAAAGGCCACAATCCTAAAAATATGTCCTGGATTCAAGCCCTGGTGATTTTCTGTTGCTTTTATTAAGAATGATGCGATTTCTTCCATATGAATGAAGAACATGTTTCAATATAAAATACAGTCACTGAGTTTTTCATCCTCTGAATCATATAACAGAAATTAAAGTAACAGCTCTAACATGTAACAAAATGCATATCCTGTGTATTACTGGGTCATAATGTGTTAACGTTTTCTTTGCTTTTACATAATGGCAGGTAATATTGGCAATTGGTGGTGAATCATCAGGAATAGCTCTAGGCAGTGTAGAATGTCTTACTTCAGGCTATGATAGTTGGAAGTGCATTGTTCCAACATATATACATGAAGGTGAGCCTTGTGAAGAGACACGGGTCATTCCTACCATGCACCATGCCCGCTTCTGTGCAGCAGTCACTGCCAGAGATCATGAAGTTTTTGTTATTGGTAAGTACATATTCTAGACTGATGTGGGTTTCGTCTCGTCCTTCCTTTACAAAAAGTCATTCAAGTCGGTGATTAAGAGACAGTGAATTATTTGTCAGTCTGTGCGTAAAATTGTTCATTGTGGTTGTGTTGCTTTTGAGATGATCTATCCAGTTCTCAGTTTCTCCATAGCTCCCTCTCTCTTTCTTTCCAGCTTAACAGTGTAAGGTGTAGGATTGAGATGGTGTTGGATAACAGTCTTATTCTGATTGTTTTGTTGTTGTTTTTTTTTGTATCCAGTACACACCATTCAGTATGGTGTGCATAGGTGGTTAGCAGGATTCACGACCCATCAGTGCATGGGTTCGATTGGGACCACGACATTTAATGCTCCTGCTGTGACCCCCTTTTGCGAAATAATGATGAAAGTGGAGTAATTGTTGGGATGCCACGAAGAAACTGGGGAAACCCCGGAGGAAAACTCCATGATACCTGGACCACGGCCTTGCCCAACACAAGTTGTAAATCTGAGCACCGCCGGGAATCGAACCCGGGACCCCAGTATTACAAGCCTAGTGTTCTAACTGATTGTAATGGAAAGCATGCAGGATGAGCGTGTCGCTTATTATGTGTTCCTCCAGATGCCTTTGAAGTATACGACATGAAATTCATGGCATAGGATGTATTATGTTTTAAAAGCGTAAGTTCTTCATCCTGTAGTAGCCACAACCAAATTTTGTGCTTCAAGGTCACAGCAAAATTGTGTAACATTGCAACATGAACAGCAGAGCCCAGTATGAAGGCTTCTGTAGTGGTGAGCCACATGAATGTTTGAAGCATGGGTAAAAGCAGTATCATGTAGGATTCTGAAATTGTATATACTCTTTTAAAAATGTATTTACTCTTCAGCATAACAGTAACTGGTCAACCTTTGTAGCTAGACACATTTAATTTGGTATTTTGTCAGGTTGTAACTTTTCTACAGATTTTGTATGGCTTTTTTTTGTATGTTGATAATTGGCAGTAAAGTGAACGTTTGAATTCATGTTCTGGTGGGGGATTTCTTACATGCCTCTACTCATACAATTGATGATCTTCTTCAAGGTAGGCCACAGGTGGCCTATTCTGTCTTAGAGAGAGTCTTCCCAGAATCTTTTTGGTCTGCCAAAATCTCAAATTCTGTTGGGTTTTTAGTCCATAATCCATTAATTCCATGTTGATATCAGTTAACTTTGTACTGATTCTTTCAGTTATATATCAGGTATTTATACTGTTAACTTAATCTATGTGGTGGGGGGAGCCCAGAAGCATAATTTATAAATTACACTGCTTCTTTTATACTCTCTAGAGCAGATAGAATGACAGAAGTAGATGAAATTAAATTTCTGAATTATGCTTTTGGGCTTACACTCTGAGATAAAGTGAACAGTATTTTCATCAAGTTGAAGTTGAAGGTTGTATTATCCCAAAAATGGTTCTTTTTTACAGAAATATTGTACATGACATGAAACACACATATCATTAAGATCTGCCATTTGTATTTGAAATATTATTTGATGTACTGTAATGTATATTTTATAATTTATATGGAAAAATGTATGCCTAAGTAGAGTATCATATCTGTGCTGTTTATTAGCTTCACAGCAGTAAATGAACATATAGCCCAGAATTGCTGAGAAAACATTTGGAAAATTTGTATATTTCATTCAGGCACAACATTCTCCTTATATTTATCTTACCAGAAGATTTTATTCTATAGTGCAAACATTCTGTTTTGTAGGTGGGACTAACTCTTCAAGCATTCTAGACATGGCAGAGTATTACAGCATCCAGTCGAATGTGTGGTGTGACCTAGCCCGTCTTCCCGTTGCTGTGCTTGGTGCTGGAGCAGTTTTTCTAAATGATCAGCTTTATGTGGTTGGAGGCAAGGGCAAAATGAACTATGAGAATAGAACATGGGTATGTTTTTGCATTTCATTTGCTGATTTTAAAATGTTTGAATTCAGAAATATGTTCACAGAATTTTGCAGGACTTTTATGATATCTGATGAATAAAAATAATCTGTCCTTTATGTATAACTGAAATGTCTAGGGGTGATTATATTATAAGTTTCAGAATGTGTGCCTCTATATAAGCCACTTGTAGGATGTTTACGAAAATGATCATGTGTGACGGGGACATTTTGTACATTCCGAATCTAGTCAGCCAATGTGATTGACTCAAAATGTTACTCTTGATGATTATTGATTGTACTTGTTTATTACATGAAATCAAATTGCTTATCTTCGTGGTTTGAGTAGTGGTTGATTGTTCTTGTTATCTCAATCATTTTGTACCATGTTTGGATTGGGTAATAATATGACATTATGAAATCAAAGTAAATGAAATGTGAAGAACATTAATGACTATTTAAAGTATTTGTGGAATAAAGTTATAAAGCTTTGCTAATGTTATAAAGTCTCACTAAATGTTCTAAAGACTCATTGTTTTGGCTTCAGTTACTAGTTGATGGAAACACCTAAAAGTCTGGTAGACTTGAGACTTAATACCGTAGAAAGTTAATATTTTGAGCAATCTATTGGCAGTGACGTGATGGTGTAGGTGTTAAGATGTTGAACGTTGTTACATGTACTTATGTTTGACATATACTAGATTGAGTGCAAATAGTCTTCATAGGCCCTCCTGACCTCTGATAAAAGTTCTTATTAATGAATGAGAAATAACAGGCCCTTATCATGATTTGGAGCCCACATTAAACTTGAGGCCCCCTTTCTAGGCAATGGTCATCGTCATCCTATCATCGGAGAGAGCAGAGTCCGCATTACAGTGCACCCACCACAGAAATGGAGTCTTTCTCCATTACATTAGTAGGCATAGAGCTGTAGAAACACATTCTTGAGGTAGTAAATTTCAAGTTTAAAAATCCTGAAGTTCTTTTTTCTCATAAGGTGCTGTTGTGTATCTGACCTATTTAGTATGTAAAATAGTATTGTGGAAAACCTTCATTTTGGTGTGCAACTGAAGTTTCTTAGGTAAATTCTGTGTAATCATTCATCATAGTGATTTAGTTACATTTACCTCTATATAGTGTTTATTCTTATCATCCTAGGTCTTGCAGAAAGATTTCAAAAGTATTTCCTTAACTTGCTAATGATATACTGGTCTTTTAAATTGTAGGAATGCTAATGCATTTGTAGGTTAAATAGTGTCTCTGGAAAGTAAGTATTTACAGTTATGTAGATTCTTATTTTAATGTTACCCTTAAGTGCACATGTTATGAGTAATATGTTCAGTGTTGTCTTTCTCTTTAGGTTTATGAGGAACATCATAACACATGGCATGAAGTATGTCCAATGATTAAACGCAGAGCGCATCATGGTGTTGTGGCAGTTGGAGGAGCTATTTATACTATTGGAGGAGTTAGTAAGTGATAATTACTCAACTAATCAAGATATTCCTTACCTTTTATGGAACCCAAAGGTTCATTACCGTGTTCCAAAAGCCTGCTACTAGGTTACTATCCTGAGACAGATGAATTTAGTTCATACCCTCACTTTCTTAAGATTTATCGCATATCTAACTGTTGCTTTCAGAGTCTTTAATACAGTATGTAGCAGCACTGAAAGAAGTGGACATCAAATGTGATGTACTTTTGCTTATGTGATGTGCGTTTGCTTACTGACAGAATTTTTTGATCATCTTTTTACATTACTTAGCACAGATGAAAGCAGTGAATACATACATTTTTATTTTAGGTGATGATGGAGATGGTAAAGATACATATTTAAAATGTATGGAAAGATATGATCATGGAAGAAGTCGGTGGTTTGCCATGGCACCAATGCATGAAAAAAGATCGTCATTTGGTTGTGCAGCATTGGGTGAATTTATCTATGTTATGGGAGGAAATGCTGGTGAATTTTGGCTGAAAGCTGTAGAAAGGTAAGTTAAACTGGTCAAAAGTGGGACTGCTTTGTGTCAGATCCATTTGGGGATTTTTGTTTTGGACAATGGAGTAGAGGCTGTTAGAAGTGGTCCACATTGAGGCAGACATTTCATTGATGCACAAGCTGATGGAAATACCTTCCATGGAGCACTCCTAAGGCTGCTGCTGGAACTGTAGCACTGCTGCTGCGTTGATGTCTTTGTTTAACCCAAATTTATGGTCCTGTAATGCTTCCGTGTAGGGGAAGAATACATGGGGATTGGTTCAACGCTGTCTAGCACATAGTGCGGTGTATCCAGCACAGTGCAGGCCTCATGGAGTGGACAATGTTATGCAACAGAGTGACATTCTTTATGATCTTGCTGGAACTCTAATGTTGAAAATGTAAATGCCTAGGAGGGTTCCACAATAGCACTCTGTTGGTGATGTCATGCATCCATCAGGAAATTCTTTCTTTCACCAGAATCCTTAATCATAGTCAGTATTTGATTCTAACTACAGGTAAACCTCAATTTGCGCCGATTCAGAATAACGCCGCTTTTGAAACCAGCAAGTCAAAAAGTGGGGGGGAAATAATATTATTTGTAATGTTTTACAATGTTTCTCGTACTGATTCTTATACTAAATTGTAATTGTTACACCTCTGATTTTAAATAAAAATTATAAATACAGTCACCTCTGCACTCATTGCTAAGTAGTTATGAGATAATCTCCTAAAAATCCATCAACATTGCGCAACAGTCATGTGAGCATTGGTCACTCTTCACGGTGAGTCATTTGTGTTCAGCCTGATAAGGGAGTAAGGAAAAATGCGCTCAGTTCGCTTCTTGTTGACACATCAAATGTGCTGAAAACTGTGTGCTAAACGTGTTTGTGTTGTTCGACCACTATTCTGCAGTAGCAACTGTTTTATATTTATAAATTGTAGAAGAGCCACCGTGTCTGGTAAGAGAAGTGAATGTGTTGCTAAAAAGTTGCGTAGGTCTATCACGTTAGAAGATAAGATGGATGTAATTCGTGGAATAGAAGGTGGTGATACCCGTCGTAGTGTGTGCAGAAGTATGAAGTTGCCTCCTTCCACTGTGACTACCATAATGAAAAATTCATATAAAATAAAAGAGTCAATGCAACGCAAGTGAGTTATAGCAGAAGTAAACTTTTAGAAAGAATGGAGAAATTACTGTTGCTGGGTGGATGACGAATCGAAAAAACATTCCCTTGACTGAAATTGCTATTACGGATAAGGCAAAGTCAATTTTTGAGGAACTTAAGTCGTCAATGTTTGGGTGCCGGGAACGCATGTCATTGACTTCCCATTGATTTACATTATAAAAAGAGTCTCAATTTACGCTGGTTCATCCAGTAATACATCCCTGGCGTAAGTCAAGGTTTACCTGTACAGAGTAGTTTATCATCATGAGGATCAGGTTTGATTATAAGCATAAATGTGATCAAAATCATTGTAATGTTCTTAATCTGGATGTCCATTTTCACCACAGGTATTAATATGTTTTTCATGTATTAGGTATGACACTCTGACCAACCAGTGGAGTTACATGGCCCCAATGTCTGTAGTTCGAAGTAACTTCAGTACCACGGTGTACAATAATCGAATATACTGCATGGGCGGACATGACAGTGTACATTACCTGAACAGTGTTGAGAAGTTTAATCCAAATACCAACAGATGGCATTGTGTGAATTCAATGCAGGTGAGAAGGTTTGGAATGGGTGCTGCAACGCTCTTTGTACCTTTTTATAAACAAACTTTGTAATAAAGTTCATATGCAACAAACAAGTTTATTGTCATAGTATGTACCACCAGTGCATAGGTATTGTAAGTGCAGATATCAGCATTGGACTGCATCAGGATAGTTACATACGTTGAGTGAGGTATCAAAGACGGTGCCTGCAGGGCAGTTAAACTGACTAATTGAGTACTGTCCATTGACATTATCACAATAATAGAAGACCTGACAGTTACTGGGATCCCTCACATATCCGCTTCTGGTGCAGACCCCACTTGCTGGAGCTGGAGCAGGAGCGACTGTTGTTGCTTGTACTGGTTCTGCTACTTGCGATGGAGCTGCTGTAGCCTTGATACTAGTCTGTAACAGGACAATTCATGTAATAAGTTCTATGAAAGTAAGGAAAGTTGATGAAATGGTACATTCTGTATGAAAGTCTAATTTGTCTTGAACCAAAATTTCTAATATTATTAAATATTAAATATTTAAGAATCTTCAGTCATGTCATTACAGTGAGAACTGAATTTCTCAGCTGGTAGTCTGCACCTTTGTGGTTGGCAACTTAAGTTATGCCAGTCTGGAATTTGTAATTAACATTATACAGTGATATTACCACTCCTGAAAAAGCAACTGTTTTATAATTAGCAGATATTATTATAATGTTTTCATTCCATTCCGTTATGTACTAATGGAGATTTCTGACAAATTATTTCATATGCCCTTTTGTATAATTTAAAATTGCAAACTTACAGTATAGGTGATTTTGACATCTTTTCAGTTTTAGTGCCACAAGTAGGCAATGCTTTTAATATTGTAAATACAATTTTTGTAATGCATTGATAATGATTATATTTGTTGACTTTAGTGTCAAGTTAAGAATTTATGGAGCTATACCTTCACTCCCCCATACATTTGCATAGAATGGTGCTTTCTTAGCTTTTTTATAATCTTGTGTTTCTTAAATTTGATTCAATGCTGCTTTTAACGTATATTCTTTAATTTATGTTTTGTGGTGACATTGTTAAATAGAGCTAATATGCTGAAGTAATTCATGTGATGAAAATTGTCATCTGTCTGTATAAACCAAAGCTTTCACTGGATGATCATATCATCATCAAACAAACAAACAGGTTCTATTATGTAGGTTATAATCATTTGATTATTGGAATAAGTCCCTTGTACCCTGTAAATTTTTTACCTGCTAGACTGACATTAGTAATATTTGCCTTCAAAGTGTAGTTCTCATTTTTGTGAAGTTAATGATTGTGGTCTTGTGGGCTGTAACATCATGTAATCTTATAGGTAGTTAAAAATGTTCCTCCACAACAGTAGTATCTACTTACAGGACAACATGATGTCACAAGTTGAAGACAGCAGTTGAAAAGATTATTTTTGTTACCTCAGTTCCGCTTGTCTTGCCAGTCAGCACAGAATTAATAGCGATTAGCAGAGGGAACTTGCCAGCACCACAGACACCAAGGAAGTCGTCTGTCTCTACGCTCCAGATCATAGCTCCTCCCAGACCTTTGTCCTTCACATATTGTGCCTGGATTTAGAAAGATATGACATTAGAATAAGGGGAAAACACTGAGTGAGGGTGTTTCAGAACAGGATGCTGAGGAAAGTAGTTGGACCTTAGAGGGATGAAGTGACAGAAGACTGGAGATCCTGTGAAGAAGAGAAGGGATTTGTGAGATTTGAGATGAGCTATTTGATGATAGTAATATGAGAGTCTGGTTATCCTGGATGTGATCAGTAATGAGTATGGGGGAAGTGAGAAATGTGTGCAAAGTTTTGACTGGAAACTTGAGGTTTACTAGTAGATATAGATGGGAGGACAATATTAAAATGGATCCTAAAGAAATTGAGTGGGACTGAGTACTGTTGATTCATAGGACAGGGACCACAGATAGGCTGTTTTGAATATGGTAATGAACCTTTGGGTTCCATAAAAAGGCAAACCATTTTGTGACTAGTTGAACGGCTGTCAGCTTGCGAAGAAAGACCGTGCTGCGTGTAGTTAGTCTGTTGCAAACTATTGAGTCAGTTTATTGTAATTTTACTTCGGAATCACAATCAATGGCTTCGTCAGTAGTATTGTGTGGTCAGAAATTATGTAATCGTGCATGTTAATTGTCTCATTTTGTTTAAAGGCTTAAACTTGTAGATAAATTCTTAGCTATAGCTGCCCATACATCAAGGGTTAACATATCTGTTCTTTGTGCTTGTGTTAAAGAAAGAACAAATCCATGGTTAACTTTTCATGAATGAAGGTAATTTGATCCAGAAAGAAGCAGCAGGTTGAGGGACAAAGAGTTAATGGTGTTTCTGAGGTTAACAAGATATTCAGAAATATGTTTACCTTTAATTTGAGAGAATCAGCATTATCGAAACCAACCCACTGGTTTCCGTTGACTGCATAAGGAACCTTCTGTTCATCATTCCAATAAACTGTCCATTGGTTTCCCTGCTCACAGATCTGTTCATACAAACATATGGCACAATTTAGTGATGAATCATTTTTTCTAATCATTAATTATTTACATAAATCAGAAAATTTCCTAATTCTGGAATTTATGGAAGAAACATTATCACATGTGTACATTTGCTTTTCATTCACCAACAGTCTATTCTGGACTCATATTCTTAATGGAAACCCCATAATGAACATTACAATATTCACAAAGCACTTGCTAAATTTATTATTATATGACAGAAAAGGATCCTTATAAGGAAGGTGCCAGAAGACTGGGCCATACATAAGAATAGCACTGTATGTAACTTTGGAAATATATCGCTGGTATCAAGTATTGCATGTTGTCATGAAAATACTGATATGTACAGCATGATCAGTGAATCACTTGCATATACATCACCATTCAATTAGCTGTTTGTATAATTCAAATAACTTTCAGCATTATAGGACTAATTTCCTTGTGAGAAATTAAGTGTGAAGTTTACTTCATACCTCATTGTATCCCAGTGTGCCAGCTTCTCTGGTATATGGACCTGCTTGCCCTGGACCTGTAATGGCAGCATCAATACCTGTGCTTTTAGTATTTTGCAAGGTGAAGGAGCGACCATATGTGCCCATTCCAACATTCAACTTCTTAGCAGGTGCACCTTTCTGGATCCAGTAGTTGATAGCGAAGTCCTGCAAAGAAAAACATTCAAACTGTGGTAAAGAAATTATGTACATTGAAGCATGCCATTTGTAGAATCTGTGCAGAAACCAGATTTATTTTTCAAGTACCTGTTTCCTAACCCGGAGATTATAACCAACCTAACAGACTTATCATATCATTATGATCTCTTAGAATAGTAAAAATTTGTAGAGTTAAATATAGGAGGATTGAATTTTTTTTAACATTGTAGAAATGTCTCTTACATTGTCAAACCTGGAATGCTTGGCTGTCTTCAGATACTTTTCATTAGCTTGAGAACAGTGCACAAAAATATAGGAGTGTCAGAAATTCTAGGATGATTGGCTAATCTAGTGGTTTAAAAAAAAAACATTTCTTTTTTCTGAAAAGCCGCCCTAACAGGGAGAACATGGAAATACTTATGTTGTATTTTACGAGGGTAAAGTTTGTGTGAGCGAAAAGTGTACTTACAACATTCAATGTTGCACTGTCTGCTGTTCTGTCAGCAGGTCCAGCATACAGCGGGGCATTTTCACCTGTCGTAGAATCCCATGAACCATGCAAATCGTAAGTCATGATATTGATGAAGTCCAAGTACCTTTATAGAAGCAGAATATTTCTTTTCAGTTTTTCCCAATGAAATTAAATAGGGTGTGGACTGAATTTAACTGGTTCACGATGAGGTCTAATGATAGTTTCTTGTGAGTGTGAGTTTATTTTGGCTTACTTTGCAAGTGCTGGTACGTCATAAGCAGCATCAATGGTACTCTGTCCAGCTGACACAGCAGCAGAGAGGATGAATCCATTTGCATCAAATTTTGGTCGAAGTTCACTCACTAATTTTGCAAATGCTGCCTGAAAAACAAAAAAGTAACATGTTTGGCTTCATATTCTATTGTTGACCCTAATATATATGTAAATCTCCATCATTAATTGTTTGTATCTTCAAATTACTTTGTCTCCTGCAGCTCCTCCTCGCTGAGTTGGATACTCCCAGTCTAAGTCAAATCCATCAAATCCGTACTGTTTCACAAAGTTGACAATGTTGTCCACAAATTTAGCTCTTAAGCCATCATTATTCACCACCTGAAAAAAATCATTTTAATTTCCTAATACCAAAGTGGGGTCCTTGTATGACATGAAATACTCAATAGCCTACTTCTTTTCCACTGCTGTAGTTTTGAGAGTAAAAATTTGTTCTTTAAATTCTTCTTTGAATTCCACATCCTTAACTAATTTAAATGTGAAATTGAAATGCCTAGTCCTATCTATGATATGTCATTGTTTATTGCTGGTATGGCTTGGAAAATTTACGTTCACTACTTAACATGGTAATAGGCATAACATTGTTGCCAACAAAGTAACTGAATTGTTACAGTAACAAAACAGTCACAGCTGGTACAACATGGTGGGGATTTAAATATAAGTGCGTTTCTCGTCTGTTATGATGATCTTGTTCTACCACATATAACAGGCTGGACAATAAAATTATATTTAAAATTAACAAATATTTTATTTTTAATAGAAGTGCTGGGGTCCGCAGTGGCCGCGCGGTCTGAGGCGTGGGCCATGTGCCGCTTGGTCGCTGGGACCGTGGGTTCGAATCCCACTCAAGCTATGGATATTTGTCAGCGTTTTTCTGTGCTGTGCTGTCCTGTGTACAGGTAGAGGCCTTGGGACGGGCTGATCCCTCGTCCAAGGAGTCCTACCGAATGTCTATAGATCAAGCCAACGAGAAGTTGGGACCCGCAGTGCTCAGGCGCTTGAAGAACGGGTCGTTCCCAGTATCCCAGTAATAGAAGTGCTGGAGCAGTGCCCCAGAACTAATAGAAGCGCTGGGATATGGCAGTTTTAGTTATTATTTGCACGGTGGAATTAGTTCAATCAAGAATAGACCATATATGAAAATGTAGTTTTGCTGCATTTTATTTCACCTGTGAGAAGGTGCTGGATCCAGCATTCCAGCCTCCAATAGCAACCATTGTCTTGGCGCTTGGGCTAATCTGCTTCAAGGCATTGAAACGGCTGAGTGCACCTAAGGAAAAGATGTTTAAGTACAGAAGATTTTGGCTGAAGTGGATCAGAATTTTTTTTTAAATTATAGTTAAAGAGATCATAAAAAATTGGACTTTAAATTAAATATTTTCCTCTTTGTCTAGGATTGTTAAAAAACACTATAATCATTGATTCTTCTTTTGGTTGATCCCACAGTTAATAAATATGTTAATGAAAATCTTAAGCTGTATAATAATTTTAAACCTTTCATACTTAGGGGCATTCACAAATAATAATTACAGGAAGTCCATTGCCTGTTGGCCAAAATTAAACTTGACTCTAGATGAATGTAGTTTGATAACGTGTGCAGAATAACATCAACACATCAGAACAGATTTTATTTTGAGCCATGTAGTTTACTAATGTTTCAGACGACTGAAAATTCTACTGTCACCTCTTAAATCATTTTATGACCCATGTGAAATTTGGTTGTCAAAATTTCAAGATATTAATTTCTGAATTGCACTTTTCCTTTAATATAGATTAATAATAATAATTTAGATCATTGCAAGTGATTCTATGTGTATGCTTCTTTTAGACGTGTTATGTTTTGTGAATGAACATAAATTTAGCATGATTAAAAATCACAAATGGTAATTACCTTTGTCAATTTCATTCCAAGAGTCCAGAATCGTAACACCACCTTCAGAACTGACTCCCACAAAAGTATAAATAAGGTGGGTGCAGAGTGTGGGGTCGATGTTCTCTACGTCAAATTTACCGTTTCCAGGACGATAGACGGCCCAGCTTCCATAGTAACACACAACTCTGTCTGTAATACATACAGTTTATGAGGGTACAAATCATAAATTTGGGGAATTATTTGTTTTAATTTATTCAAGTGACTTTCAGACTCTAGTCCATGAAAACCTAATGAGTCTGAGGGATACCATGGATATATTTTTTAATGGCAAACGAATTTTATACATCGGCATAAATGCGTAGTTTTCCATAAAAATTATTTCTGTTCCTAATTAAATTCTGTTTAACCTGAGTTCAGGTCTGAGACTGTGAAAAGAAAAATACGTCATACTCTTTATGTATTATTGGGAGGAGAATTTTCGTTTACGTATGTAGCAATTTTACTGATGAGAAATATATTTCCTCAAAGAGGATTTAGTGCGTAAAGAGTTTGGGAAACACTGAATTTTACTTGTGCTGACCTATAAAAATAATTCTCGTGAAGATTTAAAGGATTACATTGGAGCATTTAAATATTTGAAACTTTCGTCCATGTAATAACTTTTCTGTTATTAATATTTCATTATGGCTATTTTAAACAGTGATACCTTATGAGAAATTTCAGTTCTGTAGAATAAATTGGAGCTTTTGTTGGAAGACAGTCTGTGATGTATTAGATGTTATTTATTACTTACAGTCATCTGCTTGTACATAGCTTGTTGCAATGACAAGCGCGGCAACAATGGGCAACCAATACTGCATCTTACTATCCTGATTAAAAAAGAAGAAACAAGAATTATTAAGTCAAAATATTAAACTTCAGTTCCATAGGTATTGATGGAAATTTGTATTATAAACCTTAAACAACAAATGCGAGTTACGTTGCTCTGTTGTTCAGTTATGGTACTCTGGATTGTGGCTCAGTGTGATTTTGCAAGTGTTTGCCGAAGGTAATGAATAGATAAAAAAGTAATATCGATACTGCAATCATCTTCCACAATCACTATACTCGTGGATGGCAATGCGCAGGCGCTTTAGCCACTTTACTGACTTACTTAACCTGATTAAAATAAGCTTTGTGTTCGTATTACTGATGAAGTAATTTTAATATATAATTTCACGTGGAGTAATTACAGGGCGCAATATGAATAATTAGGTCGCTTACTAGGCTATTCTGATCTCTATATACGTACTGAACAGAGTTCTTTAGTATGCATTTGGTTACAACATGTTTTAAGGAATTTAAGTTGTAATTTCATCTGTTTTTCTTCACGGGAATATCAGTTGGATATTTTTTAAGGATCATACCAGGTACATACTTACGAGCTTTGCTAATGTTGTTCAGTCGAAATGACTTCTGTAAATGGAAATTAGCCGTGATATGACTATACAATCTTTGAAAATTTCTCTTGAAATCTCTTTGATTCGTATGAGAAATAGAAAAAAATTAAAATTATCACAGCACTTTACAGCAAACAGTAATACATCTAAAGTGCCCCATTCGAATCTTGTCAATGTACTGGATATCCTAAGTCAGGTCTTTCGAAGTTTTCTGGGGCGTGATTCAAAGGCACAGGCTAATGTTGTATAAATGTGAGATTTTAAGTTTCGCGACGGTGAACATTGGATTTTGTTGGCCTGCGTTTGAAGTGTCATTTTCAGCGCCTTGGTACCTTCTTCTTTATAAGGCTCATATCTGCTTGACTTACTATTATCCTGAAGATGGAGGCGGTATGTTACTCCAGAACTTTATTAAACACCTACAGGACTATGCGGTATCAACTAGGAAGACCAAAATCCAGTGTGACATGCACATAGAATTTGTAACTCTGCAAATGATTAGCATAAAAGTGGGACCTGATACATAGCGTATTTGTGGAAAATGTCACTGTTTCAGAATGTAAGTACTGAAGAGGAAATTCTGAAGTCTTATTTAAGAGGAAGAATGAAATGATACAAAACGTGTTTGATATTCTTATTACCTGATAGAGGAGCAGCAGCGGTGTTAAATGCAGAACGTGTTCCTTACCTACGTTTTTATATGATTCCTTGTTTACACAGAAGTGTGTGTTGATACGATCAAACGAGTCAGACCTTGAATATGATATGTAGTTATTTGGGTAGTTGTAGTTCATATGTTATACAGTACAGACGAAAGTCAGAGAGTTGTAATGGGAGGTGATTTAGAGGTGCGCAGAAATAAGTGGAGCTTGAAAATATATAAAAAAAGATGGCGTTGAAACAAATCCTGGTCTGCAAATGGAGGTGAAGATTGAAAGACTGATGGATTATACGCAAGAAAAGATGAAGGAAAGAAGAATTGCTAGAGAAAAATAAAACTAGGATGGATGTATTGCAAAATACTACAAAGGAATAAGGCACCAAAGTAGACCAGTTGAGCGAAACGACGAATATGACGAAAGAAGGAAGAGAAAAGGGTAAGAAACTGGTGTATGGTTGGAAAGTAGAGTAGAATGGAATTTAGAAGAGGAATTATATTTCTTAGGGGATTGGCTTAGGAAGAATTTGTTAATCTTAGACGAATACCAGCATGTATAATATTTCGACACGTTTAAAATAACAAGATTATGGACAGCCTGTGGTAGGTACGTAAATGAGTCAGAGTTTAATTCCAATACAAACTCACGTAATTTCAGATCAGGAAGGGGTGGAAAAGAGATGAGGAGACCGGCTGATGCAGGGGCAGGTTAAAAGCATCGAAAGCAACAGACCTTACGGATAGTAACGACCCCGAGTTACGGGTTGATGCAAGTAGTAACTTCTTAGATTTATCCAAAAGAAATTAACGTTGTGGGTTTTTTGTGTTAGCGGGGCTGGATTTGTTACCTGTAATACTGAGAGTGTAAGAGAAGGTTACACAAAATGTTTATATAAAAAAAAATAATTGATAGATATTTGAGAGAAAAAAAGAGGTCGACTTTACTGGTGTTTTATGGACTTCGAGAAAACTTTCGATTCAGTTGATACAGAAACGGTATCGTGTAAGATTAAGTGAAAACATGGTTAATTGTATAAAGACAGAGTATGAAGATATTAAATTGGGGAGAATTAACGAGTTGGATGAGACAGGGGTGTAGTTTAAGCCCCTGCTCGTTTAACTTTTTATAAATAGCATGGAAATGATTAAATATAGACAGTTCTCCGATAGGTGGAAATATTCACTACTCGAGATCTCCAATTGGCTCGTTTACCATCAGTGAGAGAAATGGACCAAGCAGCGAGATGTTAAGAATGGGTGGAATTTGAACTTTAATCTGAGAAAATCTGAAGTCGTAATATTTAAGAAGGGAAGTAAGCCGATGAACACAGGAAGATGGAATAGCAGCGATAATAGATACATTAAAATATTTAGAAATCCTTCAGGAAACGCTGGAGGTGCATCTTAGACACGAGTTTAAATATTTAAACTTTATAGTTCAGGCCGAGGACGGGTGTCTGAAGTTAAGTCGCCGTTAGTGAAATCGAATGAAACAAACCTGTAAATATCCTTACAAATTCAAACTTCTTCATTAACCTAATACAAACTTTAAACTTTATAATCTCCGTGAAGTAATAAGCACAAACACAAATAATTTATTACAGTTATTACTACAGGGAAGTAAACGATAGTTCACTAATCACAAAAATAATTGTACCGCACGAAAATCAGCCGAAGAAATTAAAATAAACTGACACATATTCTGTTTCAGTGTACAAATATTAGGTAAGATTTGAGGTTTTCACGGCGGTGAGTCTGAAGATTTCTGTTTTCTGGGTTGTACGTC